TTTTTTTTTTTTTTTTTTTTTTGAGATGGAGTCTTGCTTGGTCGCCAAGCTGGACTGGAGTGCACTGGCATGATCTCGGCTCACTGCAACCTCTGCCTCTAGGGTTCAAGCGATTCTCCTGCCTCAGCCTTCCGAGTAGCTGGGACTACAGGCATGTGGCCACACCCAACTAATTTTTGTATTTTTAGTAGAGACAGGATTTTACCATGTTGGCCAGGATAGTTTTGATCTCTTGACCTTGTGATCTGCCCGCCTCAGCCCCCAAAGTGCTGGGATTATAGGTGTGAACCACTGCGCCCGGCCAGGAAATGCGTTTTTTTTGTTTTTTGGGGGTTTTTTTTGAGACAGAGTTTCGCTCTTGTTACCCAGGCTGGAGTGCAATGGCGCGATCTCGGCTAACCGCAACCTCCGCCTCCTGAGTTCAAGCAATTCTCCTGCCTCAGCCTCCCGAGTAGCTGGGACTACAGGCGCGCACCCAGCTAATTTTTGTATTTTTAGTAGAGACAGGGTTTCACCACGTTGACCAGGAAGGTCTCGATTCTTGACGTCGTGATCCGCCCGCCTCAGCCTCCCAAAGTGCTGGGATTATAGGCGTGAGCCACCGCGCCCGGCCTAGGAAATGCATTTTTTAAAAAAATAATGTATTTTTAAATGTCCAAGGATAGGAGTCTCAAGAAGCAGTAAAGTTAGCTAGCTAGCTAGTTAGTCATTTTGAGACAGGGTCTTGCTCTGTTTCTCAGGGTGCAGTTCAGTGGCATGATAGTAACTCACTGCAGCCTCAAACTGCTAGGCTCAGGGGACCCTCTCACCTCAAACTCCCGAGTAGCTGCGACTACAGGTGTAGCACACCTGGCTGGCCAGTTAAATCTTTTTAAATAACTGTGTTTTAAAAAAAGGACTGGGCCGGGCGCGGTGGCTCAAGCCTGTAATCCCAGCACTTTGGGAGGCAGAGGCGGGTGGATCACGAGGTCAAGAGATCGAGACCATCCTGGTCAACATGGTGAAACCTTGTCTCTACTAAAAATACAAAAAATTAGCTGGGCATAGTGGTGCGTGCCTGTAATCCCAGCTACTCAGGAGGCTGAGGCAGGAGAATTGCCTGAACCCAGGAGGCGGAGGTTGCGGTGAGCCGAGATCGCGCCATTGCACTCCAGCCTGGGTAACAAGAGCGAAACTCCGTCTCCCAAAAAAAATAAATAAAATAAATAAAAAATAAATAAAAAAAGGACTTAGGGGCAAGCTGTAGGGAAGGTCACAGTGTCCACAGAGCCCACTACATCCTCTTTATTTCTAAGGGGAAAGAGAAACACCGTGGAGAAAGAAAAAAGCGATTCATAATGGAATTATGTGAGCCATTCAGCGGTATTACTGATATTTTTCTGATCTCTAGATGTTGAGATTGAATGGAAAAGGCTCACATTTGGATTAGGCTGTAACCTCTACACAAAAGTCGCACATTAAACCCCACACCACTCCAGCCTCCACCCTGCAGGTTGGAGCAGTTTCCTAATGGTCAATAATCAGTACTCAGTGTTGGCCTATGAGCCGGTCCCAGCCATTTTCTGGAACAAATACAACAATCTCTCATTTCTTCTTCTTTTTTTTTTTTTTTCCTTTTTTCATCCCTTATGCCACTTAAAAGGTCTCAGTTATTCTTTCTTTCTTTCTTTTTTTTTTTAAGACAGGGTTTCACCATATTGGTCAGGCTGGTCTTGAACTCCTGACCTCAGGTGATCCACCTGCCTCAGCCTCCCAAAGTGCTGGGATTACAGGCATGCGCCACTGCACCTGGCTGCCTTTTTTCTTTGGGGTGCGTGTGTGTGTGTTAATTTGTAATCCTGTATATGTCAACAGGTATATCCCACATAAGAAAAGCTTTCTGAGATCCTCAATACTTTTTTTTTTTAACTTTTTTAAGAGACAGGGTCTGGCTGTCGCACAGGCTGGAATGCAGTGGCACTGTCATGGCTCACTGCAGCCTTGAATCCTAGGACTCAACTGATCCTCCCACCTCATCCTCCTGAGTAGCTGGGACCACAGGCTCACAGCACCTCAACTGGATAGTATTTTTAAAAATTTTTTGGCCAGGCATGGTGGCAACATGCCTGTAATCCCAGCACTTTGAGAGGCCAAGGTGGGCAGATCACGAGGTCAGGAGTTCGAGACCAGCCTACTGACCAACATGGTGAAACCCCCATCTCTAAATAAAAAGAAATTTTTTTCACTGGGCTTGGTGGCTCACACCTGTAATCCTAGCACTTTGAGAGGCCAAGGCAGGCAGATCACCTGAGGTCAGGAGTTCAAGACCAGCCTGACCAACATGGAGAAACCCAGTCTCTGCTAAAAATACAAAAAATTAGCTGGGCATCGTGATGCATGCCTGTAATCCCAGGCTCTGAACCTGGGAGGCAGAGGTTGCAGTGAGCCAAGATCTTGCCATTGCACTCCAGCCTGGGCAACAAGATTGAAACTCCGTCTCAAAAAAAATTTTTTTTTGTAATGACAAGGGTCTCGCCATATTGTCCATGCTGGTCTTGAAGTCCTCATGCGATCCTCCCACTTTGGCCTCCCAAAGTGCTGAGATTACAGGTGTGAGCCACTATACCTGGCCTCAATAATTTTAATAGTGTAAAAGAGTCTTGAGATTTAAAAAAGCAAAAACACCTGAGAACTGCTACCCAGTCAGTGGTTTCATAGTATTGTTTGAGAGAAACATTTGCATCAGTTTCCTGGAGTGTCTGTTAAAATTCAGATTCCTGGACCCCATCCCAAATGACAGAATTAGAATCTATCAGATGTTTTCAGCTGGGTGTGGTGGCTCACGCCTGTAAGCCCAGCACTATGGGAGGCCAAGGGTAGCAGATCACTTGAGGTCAGGAGTTTGAGACCAGCCTGGCCAACATGGTGAAACCCCCATCTCTACTAAAAATACAAAAATTACCCCGACATGGTGGCAGGTGCCTGTAGTCCCAGCTACTCAGGAGGCTAAGGCACGAGAATCACTTGAACTTGAGAGGCAGAAGTTGCAGTGAGCCGAGATTGTGCCACTGTACTCCGGTAGGGTGACAGAGTGAGACCCTGTCTCAAAAAAAGAAAAATGTTTTTAGCTGGGGTGTGGTTGCTCATGCCTGAAATCCTAGCACTTTGGGAGGCCGAGGTGGGAGGATTCCTTGAGACCAGGAGTTTGAGACCAGCCTGGGCAACATAATGAGACCTCATCTCTACAAAAAATCTTTAAAAAAAAAGTTAGCTGTGCATGGTGATTGGTGCATGCCTGTTGTCCTAGCTACTCAGGAGGCCAAGGTGGGAGGATTGCTTGAGCCCAGGAGGTAGATGCTGTAG